CATCTGAGAATGGGACCCAGCCGCCTCTGAACAGCACTCCCTCCAGCTGATCTGATGCTCAAGCTGGTGCGTGCTGACTCAGGATGAAGCTGAGGAAGAGTGAATCTATCAAAGAGACACATGGACAGGGCAGAAGCTGTGAACACTGTTGGGGAACAGTGGTCTAAGGCTTCACGGCCTCAAAAAGGACAATGGATCCCCTCTGAAAGATGTGAACTTAGCTGTGGTTTTGCACAGAGTGGCTGCCGGAAGACGGCTATGGCAGGTGGGGCCTGTCGGGCTCAGGAGGCCTCTGCCGGAACTCACGTACTCCGTCCAGCTACAGCTGAGACAGACGGGTTCTTGCTCTCGTGGAATCTGTCTCCACGCTTTTTCTTAGGAGAGACTGGGAAGTGAACTGGGATCTGTGTCTCCATGAGGAGAGCCCCAGAACTAGACAGGAAGACAGAACGAGGAAGAGCGCCTAAGGGAGGGGTCAGACTTAAAACACCTACCGCAGGGAGATGGGCAAAGCCTCTCCATCAGCCACCCCAAGTGATGGGGCTCCCAAGGCAAACTGGGAGCACCTGGCTTCTACGGGTGTCTCAGGGCCGTAAGAACAAGAGAATGTTCACTGAGCACTCTGGGAAGCTACTTATATGTATTGTCTCAACCTTGTGAGATGAGTTATCTTCTAATTTACAGATAGGAAACCGGAGGCACAGAGAGGTGAAATAATTTGTCTGAGGTCTCAGTGAAGAGGTGACCGCAGTCAGGATCATCTGCTGGCCGGCCCACCTGGCTCCGGAGCTGTGCTTCCTTCCAGCACGCTGCGTTGCTCTTAGGTGGCCTCCACCCACCTTGGTCTTCATTCCTCCTCTGCCAGATGTAAATATTCACCCCCCTACATTACAGCATCTTGGCACTTCACAGGGTGGTCTGCACATGCTCTTCACAGCACAGAAGCCGCATCCACGTGGAATCCACCGTCTGCCATGCCGCTTCTCATGCAGGACCTTGGGAAAATGTTACCTGGCCGAGGGGAGCAATGACAAAGGTGGTCAAACCACCTCAGAAAGACTTAGGCCAGGTCTGGGGCCACTCAGACTCTGGGGCTTTCAGGGGACAGACCAGTTGCCAACAAACAAACACTCTAAGCCTAACTCCCAAACATAGCCATACAACATGGCCAGAAATCAGCGGGGTCCCTGGGCTAGGGGAGGTCTGAGCATTTGCGGTTTTCTTAGCTGGAGTCTGATTCCGCCTTTAGCCACATTTACAGTGTTCTTGTCCATGAAGCCGAGGAGTCTGTGAGCAGGAACGTAACTTGCCCAGGGCCCCCAGGAGAATTTTCAGGCATATGTTCCCAAATCGCCAGCACATTTCTAACAACTGACCAGGTGAGCATGTGTTCACCATATAGGACAGAGACGCCAACCAGACAGACCCCCCCCCCCCACCCAGGGCATATTTGCACAGAAAAACAAAGGCCCAAGGGGCCTTCCAAACCACAGAGAATCTCTGGCCATTTCCTGAGGCCTTTGGGAGATACAGCAAAAGCACAGTCTGAAGAAGTGACAGGATTCAGATAGATCCTCACTCCATAGTGGCACCCACTGCCCACTGATCCCTCCAAGCTCAGCAGTGTCAAAGGTCAGAGAGAGAGACGCTCCACCGCTACTTCTGCAGCCTCAGGACGGGAGGACATCCCCAATGAGCAGAAGGCTGGAGCCAGCGCGACTGCAGCAGGCAGGCTTCCAGGGGAGGTGGGGGCCGGGGGCGTGCCTGAGCCTGCCTGCACCCCACCAAGCTCCAGGCTGTTGAGAGCATACCTCAGAGCTCAGCTTTACAATGGAGAGCACCACTGTGTGCACCGCAGACACAGCTGTGGAGAACTGCGTGTGAAAGGGGTGGGGAAAATAAGGTTTGTGTCTGGACAGAGGGCTGGGGGGTAACTTGCAAATTTTTCACAATTTACTTTTATTTATTTTTAAAGATTGGCACCTGAGCTAACATCTGTTGCCAATCTTCTTTTGTTGTTGTTTTCCAAAAGCCCCCCAGGACATAGTTGTGGATTCTAGTTGTGAGTGCCCCTGGTTGTGCTATGTGGGACGCCGCCTCAGCATGGCCTGATGAGCAGTGCCATGTCCGCGCCCAGGATCCGGACCACCGAAACCCGGGGCCACCGAAACCCGGGGCCGCCGAAGCGGAGCGTGTGAACTTAACCACTCGGCCATGGGGCCGGCCCCTCACAGCTTACTTTTAAATTTAAAAATCACTTTTAAAATTAGCACTGCACAAAGCCTACTTTACTGTTGTCACTGCAGGCCGAGTGGGTGTTTCCATCAAAGTAGATTCTGACAAACATGAAAGAATGTACAAAGGAAACATTTTAAAAATGTCACACTTGGGTTATTAAGCACCTATTAAGCAAAGCAACACAAACTGCCTAAATTATATATGACACTTGCTAGTAAAAATTGGGATGCCACTTAAATTACAAAAAAGTCTAATTAGAAAATGTCTTAAAATTCTATTTTCACATATATATTCCATATTTACACACTGTGTATATGTGCATTAATCAGAGCACTGCAAGTACACATGACAAAGGAATTCCAGGAAAATCACTGCTGCTCTCACGCCCTGAAACCTCACTCCCTCCTCTTTGAGTTCGCCACTGCCTCTTCAAAGGACGAACATTTCTTTAAAAGCTGATTCAAGAAAATTGGCTAACTCCTTCCTGCCAACCCAGCAATGCTGAAGTGCGTGGCAAATTCATTATTTATGGATTTGGGAATTCCGTGTTAAGTTCTTCTTGTCTGTTTCTAAGGGTGCACTTAAGCACTTCAACCAGACATGGTAGACACGTTTCTGAAGGTGATTACATGCAAACAAAAAGCTACACACCTCCATCCTCAGGTTTATTTCCTGGATGGGCATCTACTGCGCTCGGCTTAGCTCCTGGGCAGCAGGCAGCAGCACACTCCTCCTAAGCCCTGGCCCACTTCTTGTCCTGTTGCTCACAGCGATCCCAGACTCCCTCCTGTCCCTAAGAAGCCTTGGATCCAGGCCAAGGCCAAGGCGGCCGTATTGGGCATTTGCACCACAAAGCCATGCACGTTAGTTCACTGAGCCACGGAAAAAAACCTAGATTCGGAAGTGACTCTTTTCTAAGAGCTGTAGTTCACATTTCTCAGGCTCAAGGCGGCCTTTAAAAAGAAAACAAAAACTCCAGTTAAGAGGAAATCATCTTTACTCATAAAAATCTCTTTGTGATAAGAGTAACTTGACAAAGGCATGACATATTGTCAACACACTCACTGTGGGGTGACTGAGCCCCAAGCTTGTCTATCCCAAGGACCACAGGAGTCTCTGCCTTTGAGGATCGATGCTCCACAAATCCTAACACCCACAGTCTTATGGTGGCTGACTTACAGCACCTTTATTTCAGATCTGCCTCTCAGGTGCCTTCCTGTCTGCTTTTCTGCCTACAGTCTGGACACCAGGAGTGCATACACTGTCCCAAGGGCAGAAGTACCTAGTTGTGGCTCAAAGGTTCTTGCAATTTTTTTTTTGCTGAGGAAGATTCACCCTGAGCTAACATCTGTTACCAATCTTCCTCTAGTTTGCATGGGAACTGCCACCACAGCATGGGCACTGATAAGTCAGTGGTGTAGGTATGCGCCCAGGAACCAAAGCCCTGGCCGTGGAAGTGAGCACACCAAACTTAACCACTAGGCCACTGGGGCTGGCCCTCTTGCAATTCTTAAAGACAGATCGTGTTGGGATAAAATTGCAAACTCTTGATTCTCAGGCAGCTCTCAAAGCCCATTGAGATGGCTAAGAGGTACTGCTGTCAGCGAGTCCTCAGCAGGGAAGGACAGCTACAGGGTCTTCCCAGGGCCAAGGGTGGTTTGAGAGGTTGCAAAGAACATTCAAGGACATGCCATCTGGGCGTCTTTCCAAAGCAGTCAGAGATGTGTCACCTTCAAAAACCGTTTGTCAGAGGAACCTGGAAATCCTTCCTAACAACATCCCTGATATGAAGGGGAAATTTCCCCTTTTTGGAGTGCTGTCAATGAGGGCCAAGTGGAGACAGCCAACTAGAAGTTGTGGCTGACGCCTAAGACTACCGTCCCACCCTGCCCCTCTCCCCCACAGCATGGAGGGCCAGGCGGACATCCCGTGAGGCAGCGCATCCCCAACAGACACCTAGTGGAGGGCAGAAGTGGCAGGTGGCAGGGGAAGAAGGTGGCCGGCAAGGCTGCAAGGTTGGCTGTAATCTCAACATTGGAGAAAGTACTAAACACAGAAGGGGGAAGGCTGTGAAGAACCCTGAGGGGCCGGCGTATCGGTGTAAGAGCATGGCTTTAAAAAATACATACAATACATGTGTGTATGTACATATGCACACATACGTCCAGACACACAGACATACTTCCTAGCTGGCTGCTCAGAGCGCCCAGAAACAACACCCCTGCAGCAGTGGGTGCTCAGAGCACCCAGGTCTTGCTTTCTAAATGTTGTCACTAAAATGGACCAGGGCTCCGTGGAGAAATGCGGGGGTCCAGGACTGGGGAAGCGCAACTGTCCGCTCTGCCGCCCGCTGCATTTATCCCGGCAGGGTTGAATCCCCTTCTGCCCCTAGCATTTCCGCGTGACCTTCTGATCACTTTTGGTTATTCTGCAAGTTCAATCCATAGGCTGGTTTTACAGTGAACAACCTTTACGAGCATCTTCTAAAGTTAGGAAACAGAAAACCACCAGCCCAGTCCTCAGCCAGGCTAAGCCAGGCTCACCTTTACTGCTCTGAGGGCGAGCGCGCCCGAGCGCAGTGGGAGCCTCACGGTGTCAGAAGTCTCTCCCTAGGTCGCTTCTTTGGGCAACAATGTCAGCTTCAGGTGAGGCACCTCCCTGCACCCAGCACCCACAAGCCTCTCTGGCAGCGACCCCCCCCATGCCTCCGTGCCCTCACTTCTTCCCTGACCTCTTTAGTTACTGCTCAACAGGACCAAAAATTCATTAGTAGCTGTTTATTGATCAATGGTTTGATATAAAGTTATTTCAGATCTTCAGAATTTGCCCAAATGGAATCACAAGCATTACAAAGTTCTTTTTCTTAAAAATAAAAAAAAGGGTAAGGGGTAGGTTGGGAGGGCACCAACCTAGCAGTAGTGGCATTTGAGAATAAATTAACAAAAAAAATTTAGTATTACCATTTATTGGTGACAAACACTAAGTTTTACTTACATTCCATGGGGAGAAAAAATTCCAGCGTAAACAACGAATCGAAGCCGTACTGAGCTCGCAAGGCCACCGCGCTTTCACCAGGCCGGAGGCAGGACCTTGCTGCACACACTTCCGTGCGCAGTAACACAACATCAAAAGCAACAAAGTTTGAGAGATAAACAGGCCATTCTTTTCAGCCCTGCATGGAGATGTAACCAACAGTATAAAGCACTCAAGGAAACCCACCTGCAGCCTGATATGTGCTACGTGGAGATCATATCCTGCAGTGTAGTGACCGCCATGTCCTCAAGAGCCATAAGGATAGAGACACAATTTTTTTTTAATCTTTAAAACAAAGATCAAAGTTCATTTTTTATGTCTTGTTGCATTTAACAAAAATAAAATAGAAAAGGAACCAAATGATCATTTACAGTTTAAAATTCCTAAATTGTCCAATTTATACAACTGTGGGAGACCTCATCAAGATTTCTGAGAAGTCCAGGACTGTTTCAGCTAAACCAGAGGGCACACAATTTGCATCACTGAAATGGTCCTGGGTTAGTCTTCAATAACATAAAAATGTATAACCACATACACATGGATATGATCTTTGCCGGTTAGATTACTGATAAAGTCAGTCTCAGACAAGTTTCTAAACTGTGCTATGTAACTAGATACAATTGAGAAACTCTCAAATGAAAATTGATATAGTGTCATTTCAATCAAAAGAAAATAATGAAACTAAGAATACATATCTCTTTTGGGAGAGAAAGCAGTGGTGACGGTGTGGGGACCACGGGGTGAGGGGCCGTAGCACGCCTGAAAGGGAGCTGGCTCCAAGCAGGAAGCATCTCACTTCCCCTCGTGCTGTCAGCTCCTGGGCCGGTCGAAGGCGCCTCTCCAGCGTGGGTGTCCAGGGTTTGTCCCAAAGTGTTTGAGTAAGCCAGTTTGAGAAGGGGTCGTGCTTTCTGTTTTCTGCTTCTTCTTTCACACAGCAAAGAAAAGCCCCAAGACGAAACAAAAAACCAAACCAAGCAATGAGGTGCCCAGGGCATGGACCTGCTGGTTTCCCAATGGAGCCGGGGCTGATTGGCAGGCCCCGCCTTCCCCCAGGAGCTGCGGCGGTGTGGGGACAAACCAGAGCTCATGCGAGCACAGCCACAGCAGCCTCCTCGTGTTCCCGCCTTCATCACCACTGCTGTCTCCAGTTCTTTACCCATCATGTCTCTCGGCCCACTGGAGGTATCAGAAATTCCAAATTTTCAAAGCAGTTTCAGTATTTTCAGTATATATGTTGGGATTTTATAATGGTTCGTGGCCAGAAAAGGTTCAGCACCTCCCACACCTTTAAGGAAGAAAAAAATGAAAATGACACCAGTTTTGAAATTTAAGACAATTAAGCCCATGTTAAAAATTAAAAGAAATCAGCAGACAGGGAGAATGCAATAGCACAGGCCCCAGTTTATGGTAACTGGCTGACAGCACAGTTTTCCAGGAGATACTGTCAAGTGAGAAAAGCGAGGAGGACAATGTGTGTAGTATGTTATCTCTGGGGGGGAAGGAAGAAAATGAGGGAGGAAATACACGAGTACACTTGCGTAAAGCAGCACGTAGGAAGGACATGTAAGAAACAGAAACGCGATGTCTGGACGGGCGTGGGGAGAGCGAGATGCGCGGGGCCTGCGTGAGGGGAGGGCCTGCCACGCGCACCTCTGCAAAGATTTCTCATTTCTGAACTATGTGACTGCCAGTCACAATCAAATGAAGACAAAGGCACAGCCCTCTGCCCAAAGCTTGGGGACCTTCCGGGGAAAGGGGCAGAAAGTGACCCAGGCAAGCGCTCACTACTGGCTGAGCAGACGGTTTTAATCTAATGCAAAGGAGGAACAGAAGTGCCTCTCCACGTCAGTCAGCTCACTCACACAGACATTGGTCCATTTCCTGTCCTCGGCATCTCTGTATTTTGTTGGTCCAACTCAGAGAGCAACTTTAAAATGTTCAGTGCAGCCTAGTGGGGATGAAAAGAAGAGTCAAACCACGGCCACCGCTTGGGACCAGAGCATCAGACACAACAGGGCGTTGAAGGATTCTATTGCCCAACAAGACAGGTGGTCCCACTAAATAACCCTTTTCTTTAATATCTGAATTTTTAATTTAAAATACAAATTAAAAAAATAAATTATCCATGGTTACCTCACTGACTCACAACCTGTGAACTTTACTATATATTCCCTCTAGTATTTTTAACCTTGTGGTAACCAGACTATACAAATTTTATATCCTGCTTTAATAAAAACCTATCACGTTTCCTTGTTCGAGCACATTAGCTTCAGAGACATTAATCTGATGGATGCATTATATTCCATCAGGTAAATGCACTACAGTTTACACAGATTAATTTAATAAATTCCTTTTCTGCTTTAGTGTTTCTTACAACAATAATTTCATCTCAACACAATACTGAGATAAGGGGCTTTCTGTGGCTGCGTGAACCTGGGCCTACATTCCTTGTTCTGGTGAGAGATGAACGGAACACCGTCTCTCGAGGGTTCCGGGATCCGAGTCCACTCCCAGTCAGCAGGGGAAGGGAAGGGCTGGCTAACACAACTGAGTTCTGAGAAACGGACTGAGAAATCAATCCGGCAAACTAAGGAAAATAAAGTCTTCAAAAATACGAAATCTATACAACAATGACCTGTCCTCAAAGTCTGGGGGAGAGTCCTTTCCCTGTCTTCCCGAGGCAGCCACAAGGCGAGGCAGGCCCGCACCATGGGGACGTACCATATCGTGGCAAGACTCCACATCCTTTCCGATGCCGTGGCTGATCAGAGGCGGCTGAGAGGAGCAATTGATAAGAGAGACAAATTCGTTCTTGTTGTTTTTGGGGAAGTCTTTGTATTCAACCTAAGGGGGAAAAGACAACTGAGGCCGGGGTCGGGAAGCAGTGACATCAACGGGGCAGGACTATGGCTCTGGGCCCAGCAGACGGGGAGATGACATCCCTCTCCTGGTCTCGGCCTGACACGGCTACACCAACTCCTGCTCAGTCAGCATAAGAGACTGTCAGAGAGGCCTTCTGCTGACGGGCACTGAGGGCTGTAGGCAGGAGAGCAAGGCCCCAAGGTTCCAGAATCTCCCAGGAACCTAGACATCTACTTAAAAACTCTGGTCTGGGGCTGGCCCCGTGGCCGAGTGGTTAAGTCGCGCGCTCTGCTGCAGGTGGCCCAGTGTTTCGTTGGTTCGAATCCTGGGCGCGGACATGGCACTGCTCATCAAGCCACGCTGAGGCAGCGTCCCACATGCCACAACTAGAAGGACCCACAACGAAGGATATACAACTATGTACCAGGGGGCTTTGGGGAGAAAAAGGAAAAAAATAAAATCTTAAACAACAACAACAAAAAAAACTCTGCTCTGAATGAAAGAAGCCATGTCCTACCAGGCAGACAGGGCCAGCACAATGAATCTGTTCTCGCTGAAATTTGTAACTCCCACTAGATTAGAGGCTGTGTTATTTTGGTTGGCTTGGATTTTTAAAGTGTTATTAGCAAAGGTCAGGATTTTCTCGTACCATACAGGCTTGTAACGCTCCCCACACGCCCCCCCTCGTAAGGCCCCTTACTATGCTTCCCTCACCCATTCCCCTAGACAAAGAACGTGATTTAAAAAGCAAGGTGCAAAGCTCCTTCAGAGGGAAACTGAGGTACAGACAACACAGCTCAGGCCTAAGAGTTACCTGGAATCCTTGGACTCTGGAAAGATAATCCAGCTGCTCAGAGGGTCTTGTGAGAGGTCCATGGGGTACGTGGCCTGAAGGGATGTTATTCTTTAAAATGGTCTCGGCTGTGGGCGAGGTGCCCCCATACAACAATTCACGGGCTATCATGGCAGTTACCGTGGCCTTGGCAGGATTCGGAGCTGCCCTAGTGAAATCTTTGGTGTGATGTCCTTGACTGACTCCTACGGCCTGGGCGACCTCGGGCACCATGGGAAGAATTCCAGCAGGCAGCTGCTGATGACTAAGATAAGGCATCCTAAACTCATCCTCTTTATTGCCTAGGGAGGGACAGGCGGACAAATCAACATGAGGCCACGCGCACTGCCTGGAAAGACCCTATCAAACCCCACGCTGGCTCTTCCTCGGCGCGAATGACTGCACCGGGGTGACGCAGAGCCGAACGCTGCACTCGACTATAGTTACCGCACGGAATTCAGTCACTCAGCTCTGCCATCACCAGGAACCACTCAAATCCCACAGTCACATTCAGATCAAGACGATAGTAACATCACACTTACTAGTCCCATTTTCATCCCCAGAGCCAGGTTCAAAAAAAGTTACTTTTCTTCCATCCCCTGGTTTCTTTATGGGTGTCTTAAAAAAAAAAAAAAAGGCCATGAGCATAAATCAAACTGTTGAAGAATTATTTCCTGCTGTCTAAAACAACACAAACTCCAACCAGCATTAATCTTTGGTTTTAAACACGAAGAGGCAGTCAGCAGAGAAGCCCACTCGAAGCCTGACGACTGCTTTGCTTGTGCTGCCCCTGGTGCCCAGCGGCAGGGCCTCCCACCTCCTCCCCAGTGGACGCGCTCGCCCACGTCAGCCTGTCCACAAAGAACTTCACATGAAGTGCACCGAAGTGAATGCTGAGCCTCTGCTCTGACTCACGGGAAGAGAGGGGCACATTCAACCGGAAGGAGGCGGGAGAGCCGCGACTGGGAGAGCCCGAGCGGGGGAAGGAAGCTTTTAGATTCAAGCTGAACAACAAACATTCTCTGGAGCTAATATCCAATTAAAAGGTAGGTGACCTTTCCAAAGCTAACAAACTTAGAGGGAAAATGCTACTAGATAAAAATTTTGTCAAACACAGGTCTCCTTTCTGAGAAGGTAAGGATGCCTATGAATGCTCTAGAAGATCTTGAATGAAAAACCCAAAAGCCAAGTCCAGGATCTACGCAAATCCTCCGATGAGTGTTTGGGGCTCATCATCATGGTTATTAACTATGCGGCCACTGCTGATACAACTGGCAGGTATCTGGGAGTGAGCTGCTGGTATTTTCAGGTTTATGCCAGCAGGGCCACTCAGTGGCTAGAAAAAAGGCCAGTTAAGGATTTCGTTGAGGGTACTGTTTACCAGTCTTGGCAGAGGAAACACTGTCAATATAGGATCATTTTCATCTAGTGTTCAATTCATAAAGAAAAAAGAAACTTCAAATCTAAACTATGGATTTGGCCCTGACTCTAAATCGCACGGTCTCAGTGCCCCAGGAACACCACGGCCTGCTTCACCACTGAGGAAGCCTGAGGCTGAGGAATCTCTCAGGCAGGCCTCCTCTCAGAGCACGAATGACAGAACCACACACTCGCTGACTTCCAGCCCAATCCCGTCATCCTCCAGATGGAGAGGAGCACGCTGCCCTCCAGCAAAGCACCCTGGACCACAGAGATGCTGAAACACGACCGTCAACCCGGAGCCAGGCTTGGAGCCACGGCAGCCAACTCCCCTTCTGACCACAGTGTAGCGGTCCAGGCCGGGGGGCTGCTCGGCAGGGCTGCATCACTGCCAGCAGGACGACACCCGGCTCTGAACTGGGCCCTGCAGGTGCCAGAGTCCCCTACGATGAGGGGAGGATGTCATCTTGCAATTAGAGAGCAAGGACACAGAGCCCCGAGCAGTCACCTTCTCCTCTGATTTGAGGGCTGGTTTGGCGGGCTGAGCCTGTGGGACTTTGAAACCAAGGATCTCCAGCATGTTCTCGGCCGCGTTCCGTTTAGCCACCTTCTTATTGGTGCCCGCTCCTTCTGCGGTATGGTTTCCCACCTTCACCTGCATAAAGAAGTCAGGACTCAGATCAGTGCTTAAAGCTTCAGAGTGAAGACTGCTCAGGAACTGGTGTGCTGGCGAAAGAGCCCAGCACTGGTCAGGAGCTGGAGACGGCTTACCTGGGGCCCTGGAGCTGGGCTGCACCAGCCTGCGAGAGCCTATTATTAAATATTCAGGAATTGGAAAAGCTGGTTGTTAAAGGCAGCCATTATTAAACGTTAAATTATGTTAGCTTATAATTAAATGAATTATTTTAACAATAATGAATACTTAAAACTTATCAGGGGCCGGCCCAGTGGCACAGTGGTTAAGTGCGCATGTTCCGCTTCAGCGGCCCGGGGTTCACTGGTTCAGATCCCGGGTGCAGACATGGCACCGCTTGGCACACCACGCTGTGGCAGGCGTCCCACATATAAAGTAGAGAAACATGGGCACAGATGTTAGCTCAGGGCCAGCCTTCCTCAGCAAAAAGAGGAGGACTGGCAGCAGATGTTAGCTCAGGGCTAATCTTCCTCAAAAATAAATATACAAATAAATAGAAATAAAACCCATGCTGTCTTTAAAAACAAAAACAAAAACAAAAAATCTCATCGCTTCCTAATTGAACCACATTTTACAATCCTCTATGCTTTTGCAGCTCTTCCGTCTGCTCTGTTTGGTGACTATTACATGACAGTGTGCTGCTGCCCATCTCTTCCCAACTCCATGGCCCGTGTCACTGTCCTTGAAAACAGCCGTGGTGGGAGCACTTACACCACAGAAATCTGCAAGTACTGCAAATCAAGGATTCAGTTGTTGTGCTGACTGTCTATTCGAGACTTAAGTGATGGAGAAAAGATCAATGCAGGTTAAGCTTCAAAAGCATGTCAAGTCTGCAGCTGTGACATTTTAACTAGTGTAAGAAACTGAAACATTCCTTCAGTCTTCAAAAATTATCTGATTCAGCAGAGAAGTCACTCATATTGTTTACAAATGTGTGAAGTTCTGACATATCTTCACTGTTTTACTTTCATCTTACATGTTAGTGTAAACAAAAATATCAACCAATACTCGTGCTAGAACTACACTCATTTGTCAATGACACAAGCAACTTCTTTGCTGAACTGGATGGTAATACAGCATTTATGTGTAGTTTGATTTTATAACTCTATTGTTGGTGACAGTCACAATGAAGCTGTAGATGTATGAAATTTACAATAAAGAGGTATTCCATATGTATTATATAGCATTTGTAAATTGTGTGCTACACATCCCTCCCATCAGTGAAATTTATCATACACATATATGTAGGTATGTATATGTGTATAGGTCTCCCCACAAACACCCCTGCCACCACACTACCCTCCACTTAAGAGTTAAACATATTCCAGCACATAACACTGTTTACAATCCCCTTCACAGACCAAAACCAAAAGCCCCATGTCACACAACTGAGAGAGAGTCATGGAAAACCTTCCTTGGCCTGTGAAGAGGGGCCTGGGGTCGAATCTCCCAGCCATTTGATCTCGGGCAAATTACTGACCCTCTCGGTAAGCTGCCGCCTCCTCTTGTCGAATGGAAGCATCACTACTTCTCTCGCCTTCTGACTGGGCAGGCGAAACACACCAGGCTAAGTTTTGGTGCTTTAAGTTATAACCCACTACACAAGAGTTAAGTATGCTGTTTTTCACCAGAAAACACTATTAAATTCAACTCACAATTAAATTAAGCTGCCCATGTGAATAACTGTTTAGTAAGCTAAGTCCAAGGAGAAATAGTCTGTACTAATCCAAAGGGTCCTCCCAACCTAAGGAAGAGCCAAACTGGACTCCAGGTTCTACAGAAGGATTAGGAGGAGCAGGAATAGATCCTTTGATATAACTTAAAAATTTATCTTCGGAAAAGAACAATATAAACCTCTAGGGGGTTAATGAAGAAAACAATTCACCCGCAATCCCACCACCCAGCACTCTTCTAAACTGGCGCAGTGCGTCCAGGCGGCTGCCTCTGATACAGCAGCACCTGTGAGGTGCACACAAGCACATTTTAAGGCATCAAATTATTGCAAACAAGATGGTCTTAGTATCGATAATGTTTGATGGCAGGGCGTGGCCCTCTAGCCCGACGTGCTGGACCTGGCCTCCTCAGGCCCTGAGATGGGCCGAGGTCAGAGAAGGGCCGCCCATAGCCGTGCCGACCCACCTGCATGACAAACTCCCTGCGGCGCGGGAGGCCTCGCTCCGTGAGGAGCATGTACTCCGGCTCCTTCTCCTTCTTCGCCTGCTGGATCTGGGCCAGTCTGCTAATTGGGTTCATCCCCTGGCCATATTCTGGGCTGCTCTGTAGCTGAGGAACAATTAATGCAGAAACCGTGTGCCATGTTAGTCACAGAAACAACCTTGTCAATTCAGAGATCAGGACAAGACAGGACTTACTTTCATATTGACCTAATGACTCAGAATTTATCAGATCTTTTTTAAACCCTTTTAACTGAAAGATGCTGAGTGAGTTTCTCTGATTGCTCTAGGGTGATTTTAAGGTCTTCTTAGCAAACCAACATCGACATTTCACTGTGAGTAGGCAAGTGTCACTGTAACGTCTACTTTTTAACAATAAATTTCAACATATGACAATAAAGGAAGAGGGAGAAAAAATATAGAACGCATTCTTAAACCTCCCTAAAGTCTGTACTATAAGATGGGTTCCCAGTTCTCTTAACAATGACTCAAAATCCAGAAACCATTAAAAAAAAAAAAACTCAAGCTGATGCCACGTGGAAAGAAGAACCTAAGAAGCCCGCAGTTACTTCCCAGTGGCCACTTTCAGCACCAGTGAATCTGTACCCACTGATAGGAGTGACTTTCCAAGATACATTAAGCAAAAAAAGGAAACTGCAAAAGCATGCTAACTTCGCACGTACAGTATGCTAACTTGTGTGTGAGACAAAGGTGGCTCTCGATACAGCCTGAAGCTATCCTGACAATCAGAACAGATCCCAGCACTCACAAATGTCCCCCCATGGACTCCTGTCCCTTCTTTGGTGGGGGTGGTGGTATTTTTTTTTCTGGTGAGAAAGATTGTCACTGAGCTAAAATCTGTGCCAATCTTCCTCTATTTTGTACGTGGGATGCTGCCACAGCACGGATGATGAGCGTTGTGTAGGTCTGCACCCAGGATCCAATCCCCCAAACCCTGGGCCGCCGAAGTAGAGTGCATGAACCTAACCACTATACCACTGGGCCAGCCCCTGTGGTGTAATTTTTGATAGGTCCATTAGCATGATTAAAAAATCCAAAAGAGGAAGAAGGTGTACAGTGAAATGTCTCACTTGTACATCCGCCCTGGGACATCGGTCCTCCCACGAATCTCCTCTGCGTTCAGAACAGCACAGCGGCCAGTGAGACGGAGGAAGCACGGTTTACCCACTCTCCCCACCCGGGCTCTGCACTGTGATCACGGGGGTGCGAAGACGCCCTCCTCCATGGTCACGTGTGCACGCCAGCAGGTGCCTCCCCCTGAAGCCGGCTCAGTCCCGCTTGCCTAACCGGGCCCTGTAAGGGTCTACCAGGCCTGGCGCGTGCATGTTCGCTCCCAGCCCTTTGGCTAAGGTCAGCAACCAGCCGTCTCAATCGCCCCGCCATCTCTGGGCAGTGACAACACCCTCTTGATTCAGAAAGGTTCTTACCCTGACTATGGATTTTGTTTTCTTTTTGATTCTGGGCTTCACTCGCTCAGCTGTAGGCAGGGGCGGTAACTTCTTCAGCTCCTCGAGAACAGCTATAGCAGCATTTTTCTTTGAAATCTTCTTGCTCTTCCCTTCACCTTCCCCCACAAACTCCCCAACCGACACCTTGGTCACGAAGCTCTTCATGTGGGGTGGGCCACTCTCCCGGGCGACCTGTTTCAGAGGGAAAGACTGAGTGAAAGCGTGACAGACACTTATCACAAGCTGTCAGGCACACTGGTTACCACATTAGGGCACATGAAGCACGGGGGAGGGGAACCGAGGAGCAGATCCGAGAAAAGGAGGCAGCAGAAAGGTCAGCAGAGGAAACTGTGATGCTGCTGCATGCTTGCTTTCTTCTCTTCTTACTTTTCAACCTTAACGTTCTTGGGTCTGATGAGTCCAATGCACTGAGGCATGGAAGAGGGAAATATGCCCTACCACTCCCTCCCATCAGAATGGCTCACGCCTCCCCAAGGCCACAGACTACCCTGAGTTTAGCGTGATCCACTGTAAGTGGCAAAAAGGAAGCTGGCCCGGCAAAGCCCAGAAAGAATTGCTGCAAAAGAGTTCAAGTTTAATATTTGCTCTGAGCCTCCAGCCAAGACTGAAGTGGTTAAATACTGGCTGCTGTGCAGCTGTAAAAGAGAATGAGAAAATCTTCTCTAAGACCGATAGTGACTTCCAGGACACAGTAAGTAAAAAAGCAAACTGTAGAAGTATATCTATGATACCCGAACTTTTGTGTAAAAAAAAAGCGTTTTATATATATGTATACATACATATATGTATATATAGAGACATACACTTGTGTATATACGCTTATTTTTGCAAAAAGAAGCACAAGAAGGAGAGAGCAGAAACCCGTGGAATTAATTCCTTACAGCAGGTGGAAGAGATTGTGGTAGAGGGGACAAGATGACACTTCAGAATGTATGTTTCTGTACAGCTTTGACTTCTGGAACCATTTAGTGTTTTACATATTAAAAATATAAAAAGTCGACAGAGAAAAACACTAAAATGGAATATGAACAGAAACCTAACTGTATATGACAGTGGCTACATAATCACACAGAAGGAAAATAAAAATCAGATCCAACCTACACCAGCCAAGACCCCCTTGAAAAGAACAACTAAGGTAGAGGCTTACACTACCAGATTTCAAGACGTCCTATAAAGTCACAGCAATTACGACATCATGGGATTGTTTAAGGATAAACAAACAGGTGAATAAAACATAAGAGAAGGCAGAAACAGACCTGCACATATATGATCTCTTGATTTTTGGCAAACACACCAAAGCAAATCCAAAGTCCATTTTTTTTAAAAACGGTATTGGAGCAACTAGATATCCACATGGGAAAAAACTGAACTACAATCTTGAACTCGACCACAGACAAAACTTACCTGGAGCTGGAACACAGACCCAAATGTGAAAGCTAAGACTATAAAGCCTATAGGAGAAAACTTCATGAGCAAGAGTTGGCAGAGTTCTTAAACACAAAAGTCACCATCCATACAGAAAATAAAACTGCAGCTCCTCAAAACCAAAAACTGCTTTTTAAAAGACAGCACTTAAAAAGTAAAATAGGGGGGCCAGCCCTGGTGGCCTAGTGGTTAAGTTCAGTGCACTCTGCTTCGGCAGCCCAGGTTTGGTTCCTGGGCGTGGACCTACACGACTCATCTGTCACTGGCCATGCCATCACAGCAGCTCTCATACAAAAAAGAGGAAGATTGGCAACAGATGTTAGCTCAGGGTGAAACTTCTTCAACAAAAAAGCCCCAGATAAAATAAAATAAAAAAATAAATAAAAAGTAAAAGAGGGAACCCATAGAATGTGAGAGAATATTTGCAATATATATATCTGACAAGGGATTTATATCCAGAATATAAAGAACTCCCACAAGTCAATAATACAAAGACAAACTACTCAGTTAAAAAAAAACATTTGAACAGACACTTTACAAAATAAGATCTCTAAATGGCCAATAAGCATATGAAAAAGTGCTCATCATTAGTCATCAGGGAACTGGAAACTGAAACCACAGTGAAATACTACCCCCCCCACACACACACACATCCCAATTTGGTTAAAATTAAAAAGTGACGATATCAAGTACTGACAAGGATGTATAGCAACTGGTGAGAGTGTAAGCTGGTACAATCAATTTAGGAAATAGTCTGACAATTTTTATAAACACCTACCCTTTGACTTAATTCTGAGTGCCCGTGTACAGAAGACGACTTAGCAGCCTTATTCACGATAGCTTCCCAGGCGAACACAACTCACATGTCCAGCAACAGGAGAACAGGTAAATTCCAGTTTTATATTCAAACAGTGGAATACACCTCAGCAATAAACTAAACTACTGATATGCATGGATGAGACTCAAACACATTCTACTGAGGATAAGAAACTCAACACCAAACAATGCACACTATCATTCTTTTTATATGAAGCCTAAGAACAAAGAAAAGAGATCTATACTGATGACAGAAAGCAGCGTCTTCTGGGCGGGTTTTAACTGGAGAGGGACCCAGAGACTTCTGGAGGTTATGGAAATGTTCTCTATCTTGATCTGGGTGGTGAATCACAGGTTTGTACCTATGTTAAAATGCAATGGGCTGTGCATGTAAGATATGTACACTTTATGGTGTATGAAGCACACTTCAACAGACTGTTAGTGTAGGGGAAAAACAATCCAAGTAACTTTGGAGCACAATTCGCTAACGATACACCTTCAGTATAAAGATAAAAAGAACCGCAAGGGCATCTTAAACTTTACTTAGTAGGTTTGTTGTTGATCGTGTTGGGTAAATATATTGATGCTGTTGGGACCAGATTCTCATAATGGGAAAAAGGAGATCCAAATACGGAATAAGGAAGAGAGAGGAAGAATCCTGTGATGGTAGATTGAAAACAGAGGTAGAACCTTGTGATTTTAAAAACACACGTATTTCCTAGCACTATCTGCCAGTAGGGCCTGGAAGCGATGGCTCCCCAGCAGCAGTCAGCACACCCAGCACCCTCATCTTGGGCTCCACATTCCACTCTGCGTAAAGGGAACTGGGGCTCCTGGGAGGAACAGCTGAGGCCATTTCTATTAGAATTTCCATTTCCACTGGGGCCAAAGCTAGAGCAGAGAAAGTGCAAAGTAAGGCTAAAACATCTGGTTGTATCACAAAGTAAGGAAGTTCTCAAGATCTGAAGAGGGGAGGTGAGAGCATAGGGGCAGGGACAATTAGACATCCAAATACAAAAGAAAGAAAAAAGACCCCTGACTCTTACCTCACAGTATATATAAAAATTATAACTCAAAATGAATCATAAACCTAAATTTAAGAGCTAAAACTATAAAACTTATGGAAGAAAGCAAAAGAGAATAACCTTAGGTTAGGCAAAGGTATCTTAGATAGGACACAACCACCACGAGCCATAAAAGAAAAATTTAGCAAACCAGACCTCTCCAAAATTAAATATTTCTGCTGTTTGGACCTCACTGTTAAAAAAACCAAAGACAAGCCACTGGGAGAAAATATTTGGAAAATACATATCTGATAAAAGAACTGTATTCAGAATATATAAGGAACCCTCAAAACTCAATAACAATATGACAACTCAATAAAAAAATTGGCAAAAGATCTGAACAGACACTTCTCCAAAGAAGATATTCAGGTGGGAAATAAGCAAACGAAAACATGCTCACTATCACTAGTCTTCATGGAAATACAAATTAAAACCATGAGTTACTACTACACACTTACTAGAATGACTAAAATTTTAAAACCTGACAATACCAAATGCTGGAGAGGACGCAGAGCAACTAAAACTCTCATGCACTGCTGTGGGAAGCTACAATGATACACCCAATTTGGAAAACAGTTTGGCAGCTTCTTATAAAGTCAAAAAGTTATAAAGTTAAAGATATACTTAGCATGCAACCCAGCAAATCCACTCCCAAGTATTTCCAAGAAAAATGAAAACATGTCCCTACAAATGTATGCACATATTTATGGTAGCTTTATTCATAATCACCAACAACTAGAAACAACCCAAATGTTCTTCACCTGGTAAAGAGATGCCTAAGTTTTGGTACGTCCATACAATGGACTACTATGCAGCAACAAAAAGAAATGAACTACTGACACACGCAACACAGATGACTCAAAATCTGCATTATATTCAGTTAAAAAAGCCACATGACAGGCAATATACTCTCTAATTCCAGTTATGTAACATTCTGAAAAAGCAAAGCTGTAGGGACAGAATCAGATCAGCGGTTGCCCAAGGCTGAGGATGGAGGGAAGGGCCTGACCACAAAGGGTAACGAAGGGAACTTCATGGGGTGAAAGATGTTCTACTCTACTCTAACTACAGTGACGGTTATGCAACTACATACCGTCATCAAATTGTATAAACGGCGAACTGTCTATCTAAATAAGGTGAACTTTACTGTATGTAAATTCTGCCTCAAGAAACCTGAGCCCCCGCCCCCCTCACAAAACAAACTGATGAGGGCATATCAAAGGACACAGGAGTCAGCTTGAATGGCAATTTGAACATCAAAATCAACAATGATAATAACGGAGCGACACTCTGAAAAAGAAAGCCGCAATGCACCTGCACTGACATAAATGAATGTAACTCGGGGTGGGGGGGATATTCTTTACAGTACAATGCCAGCTTGGAAACGCAGAAAAGCCACTTTTGACACCCAGCACAGCAGTAACCGACGCCGGGAAGAACTGTCGATGATGCCAGAACACCTGGGGCACGGTCAGGGCACAGCCTCCCAGCGTTGTCCCACAGGCCAGGGATTAACTACAAGGGGAAAGAAGTCTCCTTAGAGCGGAGCTCATCTGGTGTAGACCAGGGAAGCCAACATCACCAACACTGGGAGAAAATAACATTAGGTGATGCTGAGAAAAATCGATACCACCTCTGTGGTGTTCCGGCCAAAAAATGCACAACCTGAAACTAATCATGAGGAAAGAATCAGGCGAATCCAAACTGAGGGCCATTCTACAAAATAACTGACTTTTTAAAATGTCAATGTCATGAAGGACAAAAACTGGCTGAGGAAGTGTGACAGATTAGAGACTAACAAGATGCACACGTCTCGTTAAAAACAACACGTGATCCTGTTCTGGACACTGGAACAAGAAAATACTTTCTATAAAGGACATCACGAGGACAACTGGCAAAACATGCCTACAGGGTGTATATTAGATAACAGTCTCACAGCAATGCTAAATGTCCCGTATTTGATAATTAGATTGTGGTTATTTAAGATAAGGTCCTTGTTCTTAAGAGATACTTGCTGAAATATTAGGAGTTAAGGGCACGTCTGCCACTTGCTCGCAAATGATTCAGCAAAAGTAAAAAATAGAAAATAAAATATATACATTTACAGAGAAAGAAGTGAATGTGGTAAAACGTTAACCACTGGTGAATCTCAGTGAAGGATATAGTCACTGTCCTATTCTTGCAACTTTTCCATAGATTTGAAATTTTTCAAAATAAAAAGTTGGAAAAATGGCTAGGAAAACTATGTGAGCCCAAGAAACGGTCGTGCTCCCGAGGTGAGAGCGAGAGGCACCTCAGAAAGAGGCCCGCACTGCTCGAAAAGGAAGAGGGGTGCGGGGAAGGGCCCAGCGTGAAAGGCACCTGCAGACGGATTCTAGAGAGCTCCCCCAGGTCGCCCTCACACCCCACCTCCACACTGATGCCTAGATTCCGAAATGCTCCCTCCCTGAACAGTGCTTTCCGCGTCCTCAGATCAGAGCAGCCACGCCCACGGCTCACTCCAGGTTCACAGCTCCACCCGGCGCCTGAGAACCATCTGCACTGCCCATTCACGTCACCAGCCCCCCGATCGACAACTCGAGTCTGACCCGGAAAGGATTTAGCGACCAAGTCACAAGTGCCTTCCAGTGACCACATCAATCAGCAGCACCAGGTTTTCTAACTAAAACTAGACATTTTATCAAAAATCAAGCTGTAAATATTTTTCTAAAGAACTGTACAAATGGCTCCTGTTTTCTCCTATTAAACATTTAACCCAGCTTCCTATGTGACAGATTTTGCTACCAAAAACTTAGTCAAAAAAAAAAAAAACTATTCTGTCCATTTATTTAGTAAATATTTCCTAAGCATCCAATATATGCCAGGCAGTCTTCCAGGTGCAAGAGACAGAACTGTAGAAAAATAAAGTCCTTGCTCAAGCTAATAATGGAAGCTAAGACGAACCTTTGACCTAAGTACTCATATTAACAAACTCAACACCACCTCCGACACAAAAACTGTAATGTTCTCAATTATTACTTTAAAAGATATTCACCACCAGAGGGCACTTCCACAATTCCTTTCACGTGCCTACTTGACAATTCCCTGCTATGTGTTACATATTCCTGAACACAAGTTTGAAAGCCAAACCTGAAACTTAAATAAAAGTGGAGGTGAGATGAAAGCAATCTGGTCCCCAAACCCCATAGAGCAAAAGCAAACTGGCAAGCCCTCACTAAGGTTCCAGAAAGTTTTGCGACTCTCAGGCAGGGTAGCAACTAGTGTGAGCAGGTGACAAGCTTCATAGCTGGCCCCAGCAGTCACCTCTGTGACCCTGAGGTGACCCAGGAAGCCAGGCATTTCCCACTCTCACAATCTTGGTACCCCTCCCTTCAATCTTTAAAAATCCATTCTCATGCCATACTAATCCCTCAGGAGGAGAAAAGGAGCATTTCTTCCCTTTCCTGCAATAGGTGTCCAAAGAGACCTTGTGGCTTCTGAGGGTGAAGCTCCCACCTAGTTCCCACCCAGCAACTAGTCCTAACTGTTGTTCTGCATGTCCCCTGTCTCATTACCTCCCCAATCCCCACCCCCTCTCCCCAACAGAGGGAGAAAGGCTGTAAAGGATGTAGGGCCAGGGAAGAAGACATCAGCCCTAGATCCACCTGGTGCTCTGCAAGCCAGAAGATGGACAATATCAACCTGCTCGCCTGCTGGGGTAGGGCAGGGTTGGTGTGGGGGATACGGGGCGGCCCTGCGACCCAAGTGCGACTCCCCATCCCACCTGCGGCCCATGGTAGGCAGGTAAGCACAGCCAGGTTGTAGGTCAGAAATCATCACCACTCAGCTGATGGATTAAGGTCTGAACTCAGGAGTCTGTTTAGGGCGCTAACTTATAATAGAAGGTATATATTTTATGAAAGTCAGGCATGAAATTTGGGGATTGCCTGTAACTGCAAAATGCTACAAAATTAAAGTATTTTACGGATAATAAACTTCAGGTAGGTTTTTAAAAAATAAATACACCAAAAGAAGTTTATGAAAAACTTAAAATTGTTTTAAGGGGCTGGCCCTATGGCCGAGTGGTTAAGTTCGAGCCCTCCGCTTAGGGGGTCCTGGATTTTGCTAGTTCGGATCCTGGGTGCGGACATGGCACTGCTCATCAGGCCATGCTGAGGCAGCGTCCCACATGCCACAGGTAGAAGGACCTACAACTAGAAGAAACAACTATGTACTTGGGGGGCTTTGGGGAGAAGAAGAAGAAAAAAATCATTTTAAGCAGATGTCCCAATTCAAATTACATTTGCCTGAAGTAACAATGCACGAGTTTGGAAGACTAAAATAGATATTCTTCATAACTTTGAAAGACCAAAGAATTGATAAGGAAATCTGCATTGTATATTAAAATAGAACCTTGCATAACCAAGCATGGAAATCAAAAGAAAGAATTTGCCATGTGTCAGACCATTAAAGGAAACTTTTAAAGAATTCTCTCTTACCTGCCCAGTCTATTTGGACTCACTGTGTCTTTGAAAGAAACACACACTAAATGTACCTTATTTTCTATTTTGAACTAACCACCCGTGAATTATTGTTTTTAGACCATAAAGTCTCCAACAAACGAAGTTATTAAATGGGTGAAGTGGGGGGCAGATGCTGGACAATGACAAAACCTATGTCCTTTTAACAATTATTCTGACAAGATTTTTAGGGACAGGTTGAGATTCTTAATATTTTGAGAGTAACAGATGCTTGAGTCTGATGGAAACAATGGACCCTCTCTCCAGAAGAACACACATGAGAACATAAACCAAGCTTCTTCAGACCATTTTAGGAGGTTCACAGACCACTGAGGCCACCCATGCTCTGTCGAGAGCCCCACAGCTGGCCGAAGTTGACAACTCCTAGAAGAGAATCAATACGGCTTTTGCTAAATAGAAAATCTGAATCTTAAATTTGAAGGTTCACATAAATGTGATTATTATTCCAATATTATTTAGGAAAAATCTAATTCCGACGATGAATGCCAACAGTATTTTCTAATACAGAGGCCTACATGTAAAATAAGCTTACCTCAAAATTCACAGGCAAGTTCCGTTTAAGTGCAATCTCAAACACTTGACTTATTTCAGACTTATTGAGATTTTCTTCTTCTGATTCTCTTCCATTCACCTAAAGGAAGAATAGATGTTTAGTAGTCAACTCTTATTAAAACCGTCCACACAACAGCTGTGAGGATACGCCTTAAAGGCACTGTGCCTTGGCTGTACGGACTGGGCACTAACCCAGGGAGCAAGGCCGCATGCGTAGCATGTGTCAGGGAACGTCAAAGCTTAAAAAAAAGGGTCCTATCAAACTTGGGGCAGTTTGCACCTCATAAATCCACCATACAATCCACACATAAGAGACCTGTGGGTATGAATCAGCCTCATCGCGGTGCGGCGAGGGGCCACACTGCTCAGGAAGGCTGACTTCCAGGAGCCCGCCTCGAGGACCAGTAAGCCACATTTTAGAAAAAGTCAGACAGACAGATCTATGTGGGGCGTGGCAAGTTCAAATCTAAGTCTCTCCACTTAGGTATGTAGGCTTCTTATCTGGACATAAAGCCCTTGGAAACCACTTTATTAAAAAGTATGCAGTGGAACAAATTACAAAACTGCTCTGTATCTCACACGTACTGCTGCACAGAGCAAACTCATAAAGTCTCCCAGACAAAGGCTGAGACTATCTTCGCAGAAGGTTCACTCACAGCCCTCAGCCAGGGCTGGGACTAAAGAGGGGCAGAGATCTTCTCCGTCCATGCTGACAACACAGATGTCCATGTTGCAGTGATGACAGGAGAAAGCAGACACGCTCAGTTATAGCAAAGTGCCCCCAAAACACAGCAAGAGAACTGTGTTTTTCTTTATATTATTGGGACTCTTTTGTCAAAGAATTTGTAAAACCCTATTTCCAAGATGAGAACTATCTGACAGGAACCCGTGGCTGACACTGCTGAGTAGGCAAGGTGCAGGACATCCAGGATTTTATCTGCTGTGCACTTCCTTACGCTTATCAGGTGGATCCTGTACCTACACTGCACCAATGTTTCAAGCTGTAATTAAAAGAAATAAAACTCCATATTTAAAAAAAAACATTCATACAATAAAGAATATAACAGTGTACAAGTACATTTATCCCAAACACTATTTATAATCCCTTGTCTCCTTCCATGATGATAATGTTTCTTTCCAATCAGTTTCACTTCACTCTCTGCCTGGTCAAAACTATTTGCATAGCATTTCTTGTGGCTTAATTAAGCTAAATGAACTTTTATTCTTGTTGCTTAAATCCTAAGGAAAAAGAAGCCTCGTAGTGAGTCCTTAAAGCCAGAAATCTTCAAGCAAGGTGCCTTAGAAGGCTGGGGCTCCAGAAGTTTGGTTTGAAATTTATTTTTAAATAGGTTTTAAACTAAAAAAAATACTGGGGCCAGCCCAGGGGGTGCAGTGGTTAAGTGTGCACGTTCCACTTCGGTGGTCTGGGGTACGTCGGTTTGGATGCTGGGTGCAGACATGACACCGCTTGGCATGCCATGCTGTGGTAGGCGTCCCACATATAAAGTAGAGGAAGATGGGCACGGATGTTAGCTCAGGGCCAGTCTTCCTCAGCAAAAAGAGGCGGATTGGCAGCAGATGTTAGCTCAAGGCTAATCCTCCTCAAAACAAAAGCAAAAACAAAAAAACCCCTGTACTTTAACAAGTAAGTCAGTCCAACAAATGGTGCTGGGAAAACCAGATGTCCACAGGTGAAAAAATGAAGCTGGATCCTTACCTTACACCATATACAAAAATTAACTCAAAATGGATCAAAGACATAAACATAAGGGCTAAAATTATAAAACTCTTAGGAGAAAACATTAGGGAAAAGCTTCATGACACTGGATTTGGCAATGATTTCTTGGATATGACACCAAAAGCACAGGTAACAAAAGAAAAAACAAGATATATTGGACTTCATCGAAATTAAAAACTTTGTGCATGAAAAGACACTATCAAGAGAGTAAAGAGAACCCACAGAATGGGAGAAAATATTTGCAAATCATCTATCTGATAAAGAATTTAATATTCAGAATACATAAAGAACTCCTACAACTCAACAACAATAAACAACCCAAATCAAAAATGGTAAAGGACTTGAATAGATATTTCTCCAAAGAAGATATACAAATGGCCAACAAGCTCATGAAATGACGCCCAAGATCATTAATCGTTAGGGAATGCAAATCAAAACTACAATGAGATACTTCACACCTATGAGAATGGCCACAGAAAAGAGCAAGCGTTAGTGAGGACGTGGAGAAACTGGAACCCTTGTACACTGCTGGTGAACATGTAAAATAGCATAGCCTCTGTGGAAAACAGTTCAGTGGTTCCTCAAAAAGTTAAACATAGAATTACAATGTGATCCAGCAATTCCACTTCTAGATACATACTCAAAAGAATCGAAAACAGGGACTCAGATACTTGTACACCAGTGTTCACAGCAGCACTATTCACAATAGCAAAAAAGTGAAAACAACCCAAACATCCACCAACAGATGAAAAGATCAACAAAATGTGGGCTATTCACCTAATGGAATATTATTCACCCTTTAAAAAGAATATAGGGGCTGGCCCCATGGCATAGTGGTGAAGTTCAGCGCACTCTACTTTGGCAGCCTGGTTCGGATCCTGGGTGCAGACCTACACCACTCATCAGCCATGCTGTGGTGGCAACCCACATAAAAAGCGGAGGAAGACTGAAACAGATGTTGGCTCAGGGTTAATCTTCCTCAGCAAAAAAAAAGCACTATAATTCTGAAACATGCTGTAACATGGATGAACCTTGAAAACATTATGATAAATGAAATAAGCCAGACACAAAAGACAAATATCCACTTATATGAGGTATCCAGAATAGGCAAATGGAGACAGAAGTAAAAGAGTGTCTACCAGGGGAAGGGGTGGGGGAGGGGGAGTTACTGTTCAATGTGTACAAAGTTTCTATATGCGATGATAAAGTTCTGGAAATGGATAGTGGTGATAGTTGCACAACACTGAGAATATATTTAATGCCACAGTACTTTAAAAATGGTTAAAATGGTAACCTTTATGTTATGTATATTTTGTCTTAATTTTTTTCAAAGCAACAAAAAAAGGTACGTTTCATACCAAATATTAACACACCAGAGATCATCAATATATTAACCTGTGCTAAAAGATTAGCTCATTTTTGTGTACAAACTTTTCTGACAGCTGTTTATTTGAAGAGTATCCAAAGATACTTTAAATAGATGAGCTATTTAAAAAAATGGTCCACTCTCATGCTAAGTAATTGTGTCGATGACAATATTCTCCTTATGTGCAACCAGAACAAAATCTGGAAACAAACTGGGGACTGAGGCTGATACAAGATGTCAATTGCCATGCATATATCCCAATTTTCAAAATTTTTGCTCATTATACCAGTCCAATTAGTTTTAACTTTTACTTTTAATTATGACCTATTCCAAACATATAGAGAGGTATAGACAACGTAACAGGCAATTGTACCGGATTTAATAAATGTCAACATTAAGAACTACTGACACCAAATATTTTTTCTTTTTCAAGGAAAATGAAGAAGCCATTCTCACTCTCCTTTCCACAGCAGAGTGAACCACTACTCTAAAACAGGACTGTAGCTTTCCCAGCATGTTTTTTAATGGACAAAAACAATACATAGTTATAATTTTGTGTTGTGAAAACTCACAGAAGTCAATCTGATTGCCTTTATAAATATTATAAAATGCAAACTTATAAGTTTATACTAAGGAAATGCTACTTCTCTATTTATATATCAAGGGTCCACGTAAGTCTGGTAGAAAACAGTGGCCTACTGCTAAATTATAAACTCTGTGCCAGTGGTTCGTAACCTCAGCAGCATTAGAATCACTTGGGAGCTTTACAAAGACAGACGCCAGATCCTCACTCCAGAAAAAAGAACTCAAGTTTTCGCAGGTAGGGCCTGGATATCCATTTTATTTATAGTATTTATTTTTGCTAGCAACCAGATTGAGATTCACCTCTCTAAGCCACTGCTTCCAAAAGAATTTCAATAGGGAGAAAGCAGCCAGTGAAATAAAATGCAAAACAGGAAATGAAGACATACATTTATTTGGAAGTGAGAGTGTGTTGTTCTTTTACATAAACAATTTTGATATTATCCGGATTGACAAAATGTTGCAATGCAGGAAGCAGTGAATGAGTCAAAACCAACCCACAAATACCATTCCCAGCAAGACGGGGAAAGTGGAGCGGGCCCTCAGTCTTGCCTGCATGAAGTGGGAACTACTGTTAACATCAATCCCATAGAGCATGGTTCAGCAATAAAATCCAGGCAACATTAGGAAGAGAAAAAACACTCTGAACCATTCCTTAACCCTCAGTATGCCAGGAGAAAAACAGTCATCACCGTTAACCACCTGGCTCCAACAGACTCATTTTATTTTTCTACATTTAAAATCGTTTTACAGGGGCCAGCCCCCTGACCGAGCAGTTAAGTTTGCACGCTCTGCTTTGGCAGCCCAGGGTTTCACTGGTTCAAATCTTGGGCATGGACACTGCACCGCTCATCAGGCCACTCTGAGGCGGTGTTCCACACGCCACAACTAGAAGGACTCGCAACTAAAATATGCAGCTATGTACTGGGGGGATTTGGGGAGAAAAAGCAGGAAAAAAAAAAAAGATTGGCAACAGCTGTTAGCTCAGGTGACCAATCTTTAAAAAAAATAAAAAATAAAATCATTTTACAAATAATACACAGAATAAACAGACAACAAAAATCATTTCCTTAGAGGTTTTACTAAGAATTTAAAATAGCAAACCCAAGTTTTTACTCCAGGTTTGTAGTTTAGAAGTTATATGTACCGGAACTGGGCAAGGTCCTTTAAATGTCACTAACTGCTCATCAGCTGGCACGCCTGAACCTAGAGCACAGCCCACTTGCCAGTAACAGTGCCAGATTTCAAATCCATCTCCAACAGGTTCTAGCTTATCATGATTCTGATTCTTCTTGTACTGGTATTGTCAAAACACACTACTTTTGAAATGGACTCATAATTTTGTTGAAGAGACAACAGCGATCTTCTTTGCACTGTAACTACACAATGCTTT